AGCTGGTTCCTCTAAGCTTCCAGGTGTCTCTTTTGATTTTATGTTGGAGTGGCCAGATTGCTTTTGTCTTTTGGGGTTCCCACAGAGTCCCAAGTCAGATGAGCATCAGATACTTTCAGCCTTTTTCCTAAGGTCTGGATTCCTCCAGGAAAGATTTTGGCCTCAGGAATTTGGGAGTTGGACTGGCCTGGGAGCTGGGCCCAGGAAAGATGCTGCTCTAGGGGGCAGCTAGTGACCATGCCACCCAGAGATGCAAAGGAAGATGGGGGTGGGAAGAGGCCCCAAGGGCTCCTGGGGATTGTACTGAGGAACTGAGTTGGTCTGGATGCAAAGGTTCAGGAAGAGCAAAGGTCATCCCTGGAGTCCAGGAAAGAGACTTGGTGGGTTGTGCAGCCCAGGGAAGCAGAGGGAGGTGAGGGTGGGGCCAGGCCCAGGGGGCTCCTGGGGACCCCAGAAGGAACTGGGTTGGTCTGGATGCAAAGGATCAGGAAGCAGTGGTGGTTCCCCAGGTGCATGGGGCACCAAGACAAGGACTGGGACAGTCCCAGGCTAGGAAGAGAGATGGGTGGGGGAGGTGGTAGGGTGAATGAGGTTGGGGGCGTCAGGCCCAGAGGGTGCGATCGACTTACCCCTGAGAGAGGCCTGAGTTGTGCAGGCCAAGGAAAGCAGAGGGAGGTGAGCAGCATGTTTTTCTTTTTAAAAAATTGTATTACATTTATTTATTTAATGTGTGCGTATGTGTACATGCTTACATGTGTGAATGCTGCAGTGTACATGTGGAGGTCAGAGGACAACTTACAGGAGTCTGTTCTCTCTTTCCAGCATTTGGGTCCTGGGGATCTAACTCAAGTCTTCAGGCTTGGTGGCAAATGCCTTTACCCACTGAGAAATTTTTTTCTGGCCCTAGCATGCTTTTTTTTTTTTTCCTTCCTAGCATGCTTTTTTATAACCACTTTACTGTGGCACAGTTTATATACAGCATACATATCTAAACCACTGTGTAGTTTATACATTTTTCAAATTATAATTCCATTACAGAATTCTGCAAGTCAAGGACTATAATTTATAGCAAGGTTATGCCCTGAATAGAATACAAGAACCAGCTTTCTAAAGCGGCTAGACCCATTATCACAGCAAGAATGTTTCTTTTATACTGTAGGAAATTCAGTACTTACTCAAAAGACGAGCAAATCCAAAGTCACAAAGCTTAATGACGGAATGTTTTGTGATGAGGATATTTTCCGGTTTCACATCTCTATGTATGCACTAGTTGAAAAATCAAAGCAAAGACATGAAGGCACAGCTATATTTATCAAATACTGGATAAATCACTTTAATATCTCTTTGGCCTGTTGGATAATAAAACAGCAGCCTAAAAATAAAATTAGTTCCATATCTATAGACAGAATCACCCCCAAATTCCTGAAGGACCCCAAAAGACCAAGAAGTGTAATGAAAAATGAAAGTAGAGGAACAAGACTCAGCCAATAAAAATACCTGAGAGTTCTAGACACATTTGAATTTCAGACAATTGACAATTTATTTTCAGTGCTGGGGATCAAACTCAGGGCCTTTTGTGTCCGCTCTACCACACTTCCAGCCCCAGCAAATAATTTAAGTATATTTCATACGGTCTTTGGAACACACCTATATTGGGAAATTATGCTGGTTATTGGAACTTCATATTGAACTGGGAGTCTTGTACTTAATCTGACAACTGTTTTGGAAAGGAAAATACTGAAAGGCTCTGAGAGAGGCCTGTGCTTCTGTTGCAGGGACCTGGTGCATATGCAGAGTTCCCAGCTAAGCTGCTAAGCTGAGAACACCATCTGCTGGTAAACAGGACAAGCCCTGGGCCTGCTGAGATAAGCTGGGAAGAGAAGGCGGGAACTAGATCTTGCCAGGAGATCTCCATTCCAGTTCTGACATTTGTTCTGACAAGATAAACAAGAGCAGGCAGAGCCTCACCCTCTGGGGAGCGCTAGATGTCAGCTCTGTCCCACAGCACATCAGGGCTCTTAGCACTGCCTTCTCCCCTCAGGATGAGGCTCCTGCTTGTCATTTAGACTCTGATCACCTGGTTTCCAGATTGCATTCTTGAACTGGGTGAAGTTACAGAGAGGAATGCTTGAGACTTTTACGTGACTTTCTTATTAAATGACAATTTTCTTGGCAAACAAAACAAAACATAGAACCCAAATCAACAACTTAATTAACAATCCCATTTAAATTTTTTAGAGTTTTTAAACCCTGCTCAGGGCTCCTAGTGATCTGTCCTTCTCCCAAGGGTTTTCCTTTTTGCTGGGAATGTTGGATCTTTCTACAACCCAAGAGACTGTGTTGGCCTGGAGCCTGAAACCCTGGGGTTATCCTTGACTTTCTAGAGTCTGGAAAGAGGACAGAAGTTCTTTTTGGGCCCAGCCTGATCCTTCTCCAAAGAATCTTTAGGGTGAGAGATCAGCATCAATGTTTTCCCACCAGCAGTTTTTATTCTGGAAAAAATTGAGGGAGGCATTTTTGAATTGTTATTACAGTCTATCTGATTCTCAATAATTAATGGCTCTGGAGTCTCAAATGTTTCACCAGTCATTTCACGTATTGCTATAAATGGGTCCATCCACGAATCTCATGATGACATATAGGCAGAAGGACTTGGAAGTAAGAATGTGCTCCTACGCAGTTTGGGAATTCTTTACAAGTTTCTGTACCCTTCCCCATCAGCATGGAGTCCAGCAGAACATTTCTGGCTCTCTAGGGAACTGTAGTATGCATTATATTACTAGGGCACATGTTTTCTCTCTCTCTCTCTCTCTCTCTCTCTCTCTCTCTCTCTCCTTCCCCTCCCTCCCTCTCCAACCCCCACCTTCATGCTGAAACCTCTGTCAGTGCTAACCATCACACCATTACTCACAGTGACTAGTAATACAACGTGTCCACTCTCCTTGCTGTATAATGGTACCTTTTTTTCAGGGTTGGGGGTCATACCCAAGTCCTCATGCATGGTGGGCAGCAGTTCTACCACTGAGCTACACTCCAGCCCCAACAAGCATTCTAGTCTTCAGCTAATGAAGGTCCAGGAGAGAAGTGCTGTTCTCATATTTTTGTCTGGAAATGCAGCTTCAGAAAAGCTTACTTGGAACGGACACAGAGGGAATTTAACCTCACAGGCTCAACCGACCCTGGCAGTTGGGATGACAGATGGCTGCAGTCAAATTGTGCTTGTGGCCAGAATGAAACCCCAACACTATGATCTGGGTTGTTTGGTTTTGGTGCTTGGAATCTGATTTTTTTTTTTCTTTTTGCTATATTGGTTGGTTGATTGATTGCAGTGCTGGGGATCAAAGCCTCATTCATTCTGGGCAAGTACTCTACCACAGAGCTATGCTCCAGCCCAGGAAATACAGGAAGTAAGCAGCACTGTATTGGGGGGGTGGGCAGCAGGTTTTCTAGTATCTGTCAAGTTATATCACCTGGACAGTCACCCACTGTGCCTCCCTCCAGTCCAGCTGTGGCCAGGAGAGCAAGGGGCCTACCTTAACCCAGACTTGGTACTCTTATCTCCCCAAAGCAGACACCAGCACAAGTTGGGCATGGGCCTCCACCCACTGCCACTGGCATACTCCAGCTGAACAGGCAGGAAGCCTCTGGTGCTACCTCTCCCAATTTTAAAGTCTTTGGGGGAACCAGTCCTTATATATACTCCAAGTAAATGGAATTCTGCCTCACGTTTTACAAGGTTAAAAATATATGTAGGTTTCTTAAACTCATTTTTAAAAGGCATGTTTTATAAGATCTGAGTACAAGGGAATAATGAAGCTGGCACTTTTAGCCTCTTATCCCAAACAGGCTTAAGAAGGTTTGGGTAAAAAATTATACCCACAAGGATATGATATAAATGAATAAGCCTCAACCTCAGCCTGAGGAAAGCAGTCTATTTTTCAAAGAGCATGAGACTTACATTGTGTTTATGGCAGAAATTTACAGCTTGCAGTGTCTGCCAAGTTATGCTCTTCACGAGATGTTCTGGTACCCTAATAAGACAAAGAAACAGCACAAACACATTCTTCAGTGTAGCCATGGGATTCAACTCAAGTAACAAAAGCAAATCAAGACAGACTTCAATATCAAGAAATCCCAGGAGACACATAAAGTCATCTCCCTCCACACTCAGTTATCATACAAGTCCAAAGTGTTAAGAATGTGTGACCAGCACAATACTGAATTGTAGATTAGCAAAAGCACAAACACCAGTTTTTACAAGGGAGGACCACGAAAACACACAGGGATTTCAACAAGCATTTGTGACCACCTGCGTAAACATTTAACACTACTGGGATTCTACCTAGAAACTTTAACTCTGCCAAGCCCCAGTTCCACACAGAGATTTTTGCTGCTGTAAAGCTAGTTATTATATAGCTCAAAAGACACTTTCTTTGTTCATATTGCTCAGAACAGATGGTCCTGAAGCAAGACTCATCTTCTTTGTACAAACAGTGTTTCTAGATTCCTGAGTTCCTTTGTTTTCTTTGGGGGGAGGGGAAACATGGAAGAGGTTTATATCTCATACTATATGACAAAGTATAAATTATAAACCCAGAGAAGCATCTTGATCCTGTCCCCAAACTGCTCCTCTCTCCTCACCAGCTATATTACCTTCACATCTTTCTGCCCTTTCCTCCATCACAACATCTAGCTCTGCTGCTTTTCCTGCCCCTTTCCCCCTGACTTGCTGCTAATTTAATCATGACAGCCAGAAGCCCCAGCAGGTGCTTTGGGTAATTTGGAAAATAGCATCTCATCTGAGAGCATCTTTTTAAAGTATGGGGCAGTGATTGACTCTAGAGAGAGTGTGCTTATTGTCAGAGAACACCCCCGCCACCAGCTGAACTTAGTGTTTTATGAATCAAACATTAAATGATGTTGTTGTAGACCTCAGCAAAACTAATAAGTAGGCCTGGGAGGAAACACATGTAACTGTGTGTAAAAGATGACCACACAAAGTCACTTCTACTCTCCAAGAGAGGCCATCAGGCCACTGTTGTCACAAACCAGATGTGCAGGAAATCCTTTCCAGTAAATCAGAGGATGCTTGAACAGAAGGGGACAAGTGGAGGAAATGGAGAGGTCACCTACAGGAAGAAGAGCCAGGACATTTTTGGATCAGGACTATGTCCCCAGGCTTGAAGTAGCTTTCTCCTTCCTTCTACTCATAGTGTATAGGCACAAACACTAGAAAACTTACTGTCCGGCTAGAAGGTTAGAAAAAAGGTGGTATTTCAGGCTCCCCAGCCTCCATCTTTTGTGTGGTTATTCAACAAATTATTTTTTTAATTATTCATTTAATAACCACACAATTAGGAGAAGCATTCTATTACAATAGCATTGACATATTCAACAATTTCCAGAGGAGCTAAGATGCTTCTCTTTCACAATTGCCTGTAAATTTTTAGGTTTACAGTTGAATTAATACAGTTATACAATATTGTACTCAGTATAAACCCTATAAGACATAAATTAAAATTAAATGAGGTTTTAACCTTTAAAAAAGATTCCATTTCCTTATTAAAATACACAGTTTCATACAGAAAAATTCATTTTTAATACAATTAACATTGAGACGTTTGCACATACATTTCTAACCTCTATATATCTGATCATCAACAATCACAGTCGGTTACTTTCTGAGCTCCTTGGCATCTGAGCATGGATATAAAGTCATCAGGTAGATTT